TGTATGTGCCACATTTTCTTTTTTTGAGACAGGGTCTTACTCCGTCACCCAGGCTGGAGTTCAGTGGCGAGATCTTGACTCACTGCAACTTCTACCACCCAGGCTCAAGTGATCCGCCCACCTCAGCCTCCCAAGTAGCTGGGACTACAGGCACATACCACCATGCCCAGCTAATTAAAAACAAGAGATTGGGTTTTACCATGTTGCCGAGACTGGTCTCAAACTCCTGGGCTCAAGCAATGCACCTGCCCTGGCCTACCAAAGTGCTGAGATTATGGGCATAAGCCACCACACCTGGCCTCTTCTAGAATTTTAATAGTTTGAGGTCATATATTTAAGTCTTTAATCCATCTCCAGTTAATTTTTATATATAATGGAGGTATAGGGGTACAGTTTCATTCATCTACATATAGTTAGCCAATTTTCTTAGCAACACTGATTGAATTGGGTGTCCTCTCCTCACTGTTTAGTTTTGTCAATGTTGTTAAAGGTCAGTTGTTTGTAGGTGTGTAGCTTTCAGGGGTCACTATTCTGTTCCACTGGTCTATGTGTCTATTTTTGCACCAGTACCCTGCTGTTTTGGTTACTGTAGCCTTTTAGTATAGCTTGAAGTCAGGTACAGTGATGCTTCTGGCTTTGTTCTTTTTGGTTAGGATTGCTTTGGGTTTCATATGAGTTTTAGAATCATTTTTTCTTATTCTGTGAAAAATGATGTTTATAATTTGATAGGAATAGCATTGAATCTGCAGATTGCTTTGGGCAATGTGGTCAAGTCCACTTTTTAATTCATTAATTTTTATTTTTATTTTTGTTGAGATAGGGTCTCACTCTGTCATCTAGGCCAAAGTGCAATAGCACAATCATGGCTCATTACAGCCTTGATCTCCTGGGCTCAAGAAATCCTCTCTCCTCAGCCTCCCCAGTAGCTGGGACCTCAGGCATGCACCACCATGCCCAGATAATTCTTTTTAATTTCTACTTTTTTGTAGAGATGGGGTCTCATTCAGCCTGACAAACATGGAGAAGTCCCATCTCTACTAAAACAAATACAAAAAATTAGCCAGGTGTGGTAGCGCATGCCTGTAATTCCAGCTACTTGGAAGGCTGAGGCAGGAGAATCGCTTGAACCCAAGAGGCAGAGGTTGCAGTGAGCCGAGACTGCGCCACTGCGCTCCAGCCTGGGCAACAAGAGTTTTTAGCATAGAGTGATAACTTCCAAGCTCCTTACATGCCAGAACAGAAACTGGAAATCTATTATTTCTTTGACTCATGCATTATTTAGGATTATTTAAAATATTCCAAATAATTATTTAAAATATTATTTAAAATATTCCAAATAAATGAGATTGTTTGGTTTATCCTTATTTCTAATTTTATTACATTGTGATAAGAGAATGCTGCTTTCCATGCTATCAGTTTTTGGGAATTTGTTGAAATTTTCTCTGTGGCTCCATACTTTGTCAGTTTTTCTTCAATGTTATATATTACCTAAAACAGAATGTATCAGGTGCAGTGAGGTCTTTATACCATTAGATAAAGGACTTTGATTGTACGGTTTACAACTCAAACTCCGTAGTCCACAACTTGATCTCTGTTCCTCATCCTCACCCCTAGATGACCAAATAACATTGACAGTGATATTAAAATACAAATTTTCTTTTTCCATTTAAGACACTGAGAGACAGCTTTTTTTCTGTTACCAGAAATATTACAATGCAGCAAACAGGCAAACTTCTCATGAATTTTAAAATTAAACAGTTCAATTTAAAATTTTAGTCTCTGGCCTGGCGTGGTGGCTCACACCTGTAATCCCAGCTCTTTGAGAGGCTGAAGCAGGCAGATCACAAGGTCAGGAGTTCAAAATCAGCCTGACTAACATGTTGAAACCCTGTCTCGACTAAAAATACAAAAATTAGCTGGGCATGGTGGTACACACCTGTAATCCCACCTACTCAGGAGGCTGAGGCAGGAAGATCATTTGAACCCAGGAGGCGGAGGTTGCATTGAGCCAAGATCACACCATTGCACTCCAGCACTCTAGCCTGGGCAACAGAGCAAGACTCCATCTCAAAATAAATAAATAAATAAATAAAATAAAATAAAGTAAAATAAAAATTTAGTTTAATATCCAACTCAAACATTTATCTCCCCCACACACCTAGTTCAGAATTAACTGTGGCTTGTGGACTGCAGTGGATAAGGTGGGTGAGCTCTTTTTACAACCCTTCTTGCTTTACACATCTTCCTTCTCTCCAATGCTCTGGGCCTCCCTTCCTTCTCAGGTTGGTTGTAATGCCTAATGAGGGATGGTGTGGGTTCTTCTTTGGAGACTTCTTCAAGGAAATACTCTACCGCACAGTTTTCTGGCTTAGGCCATGTGTCCTCTAGTTGACTTCTTGGACTCTCTTCAGTAGAGTCCCATTATACTGGCTCAAGCCTGGTTACTTCCTGTGATGTCCAATGGTTTATAGGAAAGTCATGCTTTATGCATCCTTGACACACCAAATTCTAGTAGTGTACATAGTCCCTACTACCTTCTCTCTTTCCTATAACATTTGGGGATTCAAACTCTAGGGAAGTACATCAAACCTTTGGGCAGGATGCTTCCAGCCTGTTATCCCCAGTTCTGGGGATTCATCAGACACTATGAGTCTAAAGGAAAATATCCCCTCCACGTCTCATTACTCTTTCATTTTCTTTCCCTTATTATAACTTCTGTAATATATCATGGGATTGGAATGTCCTTGGCCTTGGTATATACAATAGTGTTCTAATGAGTTTACCAATTTTATATATTTAGATATGAAGGAAGTGTTGTCATATAGCAAAGGGCCTAACTACCTCCATTGGCCTGCTGTGACAGGATACTGACCCTACACATCATTTAACCACTGTCGGCATTATTAATGTTTTTAAACCAAGGAACTATCACTTGTTCTAAATAATTCAAGTTTTGGGAAGCATCAAATGAAATAATAAAAATGAAATTTGTTTATACAGTATAAAATATATCCATGACTATTTTAAACATTGTATTTGGTATCATCACTTTAAATTACATAAGTTGAGAGGTTTTACAAATATCTCTAAATAAGGTTTATTTTTCCAAAAAACCATAGACAAAAATTATCCTATAACAAAATTAAAACTTCATCACGTCATCTGTGCCAATTCCAATTTTAGGAAGAGTACTTATTAGGGCTTTGATTTTTCTTTGAGGTTCTCTGTTGTCAAAGTGAAGTAACCTAAATGATGTTATGGTTGTATCGTGGAATGAAAGGAGGAATGAGAATCTTCTATTATTGTTTTTCTAAAAATTATGTTTCTCAAGTATTTCTTAATATAACAGAATATATCCATATGCATGATCAAGGATGAATTTTCCTGTGATTTGGCTTAATGGAATCTCTGGGAGTTATGAAAAAATTCTTTTGCCCCTCTTGTTACCATAAACCTTGTGTTATCAGTGTTGCACAGACCATGGCTAGCCATTTAATGCCGTGAATTATGGCAAATAATTTGAATTGAGAGCTTTGCTCCTATCAAAGGTAAAAGTGCTTCTGGGGTGAATGAGAAAGGCTTTGAAGCAGTGAGAGCCTTTCCCCTGTAATATCATTGGGCTCTGACAGTAGGATCTTGAAAAGGAGGCTTCTAATCCTGTCTGCCATTATATGACAGGCAAGTCACCTGATCTTTTTGTTGTTGTTTTCTTTTATTTAGAGTCTCTCTCTGTTGCCCAGGCTGGAGTGCAGTGGCGCGATCTCGGCTCTGCCTTCCGGGTTCAGGTGACTCTCCTACCTCAGTCTCCTGAGTAGCTGGGGTTTCAGGTGTGCACCACCACGCCCAGCTAATTTGTGTATTTTTAGTAGAGACGGGTTTCACCATGTTGGCCAGGCTGGCCTCGAACTCCTGACCTCAAGTGACCCACCTGCCTCGGCCTCCCAGAAGTGCTAGGATTACAGGCATAAGCCACCGCGCCTGGCCCCGATCTCTTTGAACTCAGTTCCCTCAACTGTAAACCCAGAGGCTTGGGTTGGATAATCCACACTGTCCTTAAAGACAAGATATACGGGGCTTGTAAATAATGCTCACTCTGCAAAGTAAGATATTGTCTGGTGTCTGCAGAATCAGGCAATTCCAAGGCCATTGTAAGGCAAAACAAAGCTCAAATTTGATGAGAGAAAATTTCTTTTCAAGGACTGCTTCCGAAGCATAAATATAAGGCAGATAACATCAACACAGGAGAGAGACAGTCTATTTTATGCAATGTAAAATTCCCTCTCAACTTCTAGGATAATGGGACTCAGGTTTGCGGCTTGCCCAAGTCCCACAGCTAGTGAGTGGAGATGATTTTAAACTCACCTGCGCGCCTAGTGCAGGTTCCAGAACCTCAGGGGCTTTATGAAACATAAGGACGTAGGCCGCTAGTAACAATAGCTAACACGAGTGTCCCCTCTGCGCCAGACCCCATGCTGCATGCTGTAGTCGCATTTCCTTGGTTAGCCCTCGGAACAACCTTGTGATTGACGTACTGCTAGTACCTGTTACTCTTTAAAGGGCGGGGTAGGCTCTGAGGCCTGCGAATTGAGCTGCACGGGGGTGAGTGTTACGCTCCCAGGAAGATGAGGGTCTGTGTAAATTTGGGGGAAGGGAAGTGGTGGGATTGTCTCCCAGTTTCGGCTCTCGGAAGGAGTAAGGGGCCTCTCCAGCTGTGGTCTCCAAGTACAGTCGGTCTCTGATCTCCCAAGGCTTTGTGCCACTTCGCGCCCAGGGGTCTTTATGTTCCAATTACCGTGCAAGGTTCTCCCCTCCAGTTGTATGTACTGAGGCGGCGGGAAAAAACGCTGAGGGAGGGCTCACACCGCAAGGCCCCCAGCCTGTAGCTATTCTCGGGGGCTGCAGCTCCCGCACCCGCGACGCCCAGCTTCCCGCGGGAGCAAGCGCAGCCTCCTCGTTCCCTTCCCACCCGCGGCGGTGCCTGGAGAACAAACACTCAGCTGACCTAGGGGCGGGGCGGGGGCGGGAACCTAAAGTCTCGGCTCCTTTCCAGTGGGTGAATGGCTTCCCCGCCGGTCCCTTGAAGCGTTGCCTTTCGATCCCTCCAGATCTCTGGGGCGCGGGTCCCCAAGATGCGCCTCCACCTGCTCCTGCTGCTCGAGCTGTGCGGTGCAGGCCCCACCGCCGCGGCGCTCAGCTTCAGCTTGCGGGGAAACTGGAGCATCTGCAATGGTAACGGCTCGCTCGAGCTGCCCGGGGCGGTCCCCGGCTGCGTGCACAGCGCCTTGTTCCAGCAGGGCCTGATCCAGGTACTGCGTGCGGCCGGCCCGCGGCGAGCCTGAGCCCGCCTTCCTTGGGTGCTGAGAGGGGCCCAGGAACCGCCTGGCAGCCCCCAGCTCTGGGCCGTTCGGGTCGGTTTGGCAGTAACTTCCCCTTTGCATCTTGTGATCCGCGGGGGGAAAATGCCCAGGCTCTGGGGTACCGGCTAGACGGAGACTGAGCGGCCGACCAGTGTTGGGACATTAGTAACTCTGGAAAGCGGAAGTTTAGATAGAGGAACAGTGTTGCTGTTAGCAGTTTACTTACTGCAGTCGTTCTCGACTGAAGCGTGTATACAAAGGGCATGCTGTCACTGACAAGCATAAGGTGGGGAATTACTGTCTCTACTATTTGCACACTGCAGGGGACAACAGCGTTTTGCTAAGTAAGGGTTACTCTATCGAGTAACATCTCGGTTTTTGTATTTTCGCTTTTAAGCGTCAGGGAGTCAGATTTGGGATTGATGCAGCATAGACGTTGTGGAGAATCATCTACAGGAGTAAAGTTGGGTTTGTCAGTGCTAGTGCGGCTAATAATGGGTAAAGAATCACTTGATGATGAAGAAAGGCGCTGTTTCCTCTCAGGGTGTGTGTGTGTGTGTGTGTGTGTGTGTGTGTGTGTGTGTCCCAATAGCGTCTCCAATTTACAGATTAGTTGTGGGGAACATTTCCTGTTTGGCTGCCTGTGCGCATTGGTTTGCAAATTGAACTGACTTCCGCCCTCCAACTGCTTTTGCTGTTTCCTCTTGTACAGCGTCCCCACGTGTTGTCTTTGCTTGTGGGAAGATATACTTGTAATTGATCTACTTGTGGGATGCATACATTGTCCAATCTTCATAATAACTGTATATAGTAAGTGTCCATATCTGAATTTAATGGATAATATGGAATTATGGAACACAGAGAAATTAGGAAGGTGACTGATATCATACAGCAACTAAGTGGAAAGAAATGGAATTCTAACCCAGGTGGTCTCAACTCCATAGCCTGGTCTCTATTATGTGGTATGCTTACTTTGTTTTTGAAAAATCATGTGTTTTTGAAGCACTCTGGTTGACTTTCAGGAGCACCATTCTTTCTTTTTTTTTTTTTTTTTTTTTTTTTAATAGGATTTTTTTTTTTTTTTTTTTTTTTTTTTTTTTTTTGGAAACGGAATTTCGCTCTTGTTACCCAGGCTGGAGTGCATTGGCGCGATCTCGGCTCACTGCAGCCTGCGGCTCACTGCAGCCTCCGCCTCAGGAGCACCATTCTAAGTTTGTTTCCATGACAAGGTGGTCACCTAGGGTTATGCAAATTTTTGATCTGGTACTTAGTAGTTTTTTTTTTTTTTTTCCCCATATGTGTATCAGAAAGGAGTTGATTGTTGTAAATGACAATGAACATTGTCAAATATATTTTTAGAGTAAATCATTCCCAAACTTAAGTACTGTATTTTTAGTTAACAAACTACTTGTGATATAGAACACAGCTGACCACAGTATACCCTGATTCTTTACTTATATCTGCTTTGAGAATACCTGTATTTATTTTGTAGGGTTCCTCTTTGCCTCATTTTACTGAAATAATTAAGCCAATGGGTGTTGGTATGTCAGCTCAAGCTGGTTATTCCAGTGCTTTGGGAGGCCAAAGTGGGAGGATTCCTTGAGGCCAGGAGTTCAAGACCAGTGTGGCCAACATAGAAAGAGTCTATGAGGCTGAGGTGGGAGGATTTCTTGAGGCCAAGAATTCAAGACCAATATGACCAACATAGAGAGATTCTATCTCTACAAAAAAAAAAAAAATTAAGCTGATGGGAAATAATGAGTGGTGTCAGCAAGTCAGATTTTGTGTCATATTACAGAGCTAAGAAATAATGTTGTTTATTACAGATAACGAAAATGAGGGTGCTCATAGTATGAAATAACTTCCTCATAGGAATAATTTAAAGAGATTTCTTAAATCTCTTCACCAATTCTTAGAAAAACTTTTTAGAAAAACTTTTTAATCAGGCGGATATGGGTATCAAGTGGTAGTGGGATGAGAAATGGGAAGGCTTTTGGGGCTTAGGAAACACAAGACCTATTGAAAATAATCATCAGGGCTGGGGACAGTGGCTCATGCCTGTAATCCCAGCACTTTGGAGGCAGAGGTAGGTGGAGTTTAAGACCAGCCTGGGCAACCTGGTGAGACACTATCTCTACAAAAAATTAGAAAACTAACTGGACGTGGTGGCATGCACCTGTGGTCCCAGCTACTTAGGAGGCTGAGGTGGGAGGATCACTTGAACCCAGGAGGTTGAGGTTGTAGTGATCCCTACTACAACCTGGGCAACAGAGGGACACCCTGTCTCAAAAAAAATAAGTAAATAAAAGTAAAGAAGAAAAGAAAATAATAATCAACATCAGTATCAGTATCAGTATTGTTATTCAGTAATGTAAGACTGTTATCCCACCTGCTTTATTATAGCATCCCATTTTAGTGTTGACTTCAGGAAATTTCTACAGTTTAGAGTAGACACTGGGCCAAATATTGTGTTTGTATAAGAGCTTGAAACATATCTTGGTGAAATCATTCATTTATTTATTTATTCACCTAATTAATTATCTCATATTTATTTCATACCTCATATCTTGGTGAAATTATTCACTTATTTATTTATTTGCCTAGTTAGTTATCTCATAATTATTTTATACCTCATATCTTGGTATACCTCATATCTTGGATACCTCATATCTTGAAATCATTCATTTATTTATTCACCTAGTTAATTGTCTCATATTTATTTCATACCTCTGATGTGGCAGGCACTATTCTAAGTACTTGAAATTGAGTGGTAAAGAAAACAAAGTCCTTTTCTTAATGGACATTCTAGTGGAGGAAATAGACATACCAAACTAATAAATAATGTAATGGCAGGTGGGGCATTGAAGAAAAATTGAGCAGTTTAGAGGAATAGACAGTGAAGACTGGTTGGAAAGCATTGCTAATTTTTTTTTTTTGAAATGGAGTTTTGCTCTTGTTGCCTAGGCTGGAGTGCAATGGCACAATCTTGGCTCACCATAACCTCCACCTCCTGGATTCAAGCGATTCTCCTGCCTCAGCCTCCAGAGCAGCCGGGATTACAGACATGTGCCACTATGCCTGGCTAATTTTTGTATTTTTAGTAGAGATGGGGTTTCTCCATATTGGTCAGGCTGGTCTTGAACTCTGGACCTCCAGTGATCTGCCAGCCTTGGCCTCCCAAAGTGCTGGGTTTAGAGGCATGAGCCACTGCACCTGGCCAGCATTGCTATTTTAAAAAAAGGGACTGAAGATAGGTATTTTGATAAGGTGACTTTTAAACAGAGAGACCTGTTTAAACGGAGACACCTATTTGAAAAGGTAGCTTTTAAGGAGAAGTGCATTTCCAGCAAAGAGGAAAAAAGACAAGAGTGGGGAGGAGAGAGGTACTGAGGCAGGAATGAGCTTGACAAGTTTCAGGAATAGTCAGCAGGCTGGAGTCTTGTGAACCAGAGGGAAGGAGAGGAGTTCAAAGTCTAGGGCAGATCATGAAGGGCTGTGAACCTTAGGAAACACTTTGGCTTTTTATTCTACATGTGATAGGAAGTTATTGGGGGCTTTGAGCTTAGAGTAGCATAATCAGATTTGCCTTTTTAAAGGTCATTCTGTTGTGTGAAGGCTACAGTGCAGGAGAATGGAAGCCTGGACGCCAGCCAGGGGACTATTGCTGGTCTATGGGCAAGAGACAGCTTCTGGCTTGGACCAGCATGGTGGCAGTGAAATGCTGAGAATGGTTGTGAGAACATATTTTAAATGTAGAAATAACAGGATTTCTTCAGCTGGATTTGTTGATGGATTGGGAGAGAGAAGAGGGAGGTGTAGGAAAATACCAGGATTTTTTATCTGAGCTGGTTAAATGAAATTTGTATTTAGTTAAGGGATTCTCTGGCTAGTCTTGGCTATTTCATAGGTGAATGTTTGGATTTTCTGTACAGAATCTAAACCTTTGGTGCCTTAGAGAGACTTTTGGGTTCTCTGTAAAAAGTTATTCCTTCAGCCTGCTTTTTTTTTTTTTTTTTTTTTTTGAGATGAAGTTTTGCTGTTGTCACTCAGGCTAGAGTGCAATGGCACGATCTTGGCTCACTGAAACCTCTGCCTCCCAGGATCAAGCAATTCTCCTGCCTCAGCCTCCCAAGTAGCTAGGATTACAGGCATGGACCACCACTCCTGGCTGATTTTGTATTTTTAGTAGAGACGGGGTTTTGCCATGGTGGTCAGGCTGGTCTTGAGCTCCCGATCTCAGGTGATCTGCCTGCCTTGGCCTCCCAAGGTGCTGGGATTACAGGTGTGAGCCACCACACCCAGCCCTCAGCCTGCTATTATGCCACACCGTATAATTTGAGGCCGGGCGAAATTTCTACTATAAGATTACATCACAGTAGTTATACATGTGATTAACAAGCTAGTCACAGATATTCTTTTTTAATTTTATAAACACAAACTATTGTATTATAAATACAAAATAAACAAAAGATAGTTATATGTTAGCTATTATGAAGGGTGAAAACATTATATAAACTTCAAAAAGCTGCTTTCTGCATCTGCATCAATGTAATTTCATGATTTTCTACCTGATATTTCATTTGTAGAAATAATCTCTATGTTCAAATTATCATTCACTTTCATGCCCCCACATGGAAAGTGGTAGGTGAATAGTTGTAGGAATACAATATTTTTCCGGCTCTCCCACTCAAAAGTATCTCTGTGTCTCTATCCAGTCTATACTCAGAACTTTGTTTTCATGAGCAGCCAGATCATACAACTTCGTGTATACTACAACTTGATAATGTTATCTAGAGATCCTGAAATCAGTTGCTGTTCACAGGTAGGAAACCATTTTACTAATGTCACCCAACCTGTATGTGAAGTTAGTGACAGTGACACCAAAGAATGGTCTTTAGTTTGGGGATCCCACAGTCTGGTATGCCCATCTGAGCTTCCAGATGCTCAAA